GGGGGGGGGGGGGGGAGGGGGATCTCTGATTCTTGGTCGGCCACAATAATAGGTTTAGTCTACGGGGACTCCGACAGAGAAGGCGGTAAGAAAGTGCAGGCAACTACCTGCTGGTGCCTCGCTCAGGAGTGTTGATGTCGTCGTCGTTGTTGTGCACGTCGTCTCGGGTTCTCTTGTTCAATTTGAAAAACGTTCCATCCACTGCCACCAGCCTGGTTTCATATTTTGTTTCACATGCATGCGCGGAGGAGCCCGTTTCTCCTACGATGGAGCCGACCGTTTATCCTTCTAATGTTTTTTTCTTCCCCGGTTGTAGCCGTGATAAGGGTGCCGGAAGTGGAAGCAGTCTAGCTTGTATCAAAAACCTACGCAGGTTTTCCTGAGTGAGCAAACATACTCGAGATAAAGAATACAATCGGCAAAGTTGGGGTTACGGTCTGCGTGCCCCCTACCTGACCTTTTTTTCGTGATAGGCTTAACTTCTTCGCGTAGGAGGCAGTCCACTTGTACCGTCCGCATTATTTGCAGGTGCCTTCAACCAAAACGACATAATCTCGTGGAGCGATGGTGTAAATAAACACTCTCATTAACACCACCAGGGCCAAGGGGACAACTCGGTGCGACCAAAAGTATGGGTCCTCCTCTGAACAGGGGGCTGCCCCAAAACCCCGCCCCCAAACATTTGAACGGCGGTGTATGGGGTAGGTGCGCGCGAGGGAGAGAGGAGGAGGGGAAAGGACAATTCGAGGCCTCCTACAATACATGAGCAAGTGAGGAGGCAAACGGCAAACGCCAGGTCTGCGAGAAGACAAGATGAGGTCCGAGGCTAACATAATTCCGGGGAACCAACGAGTACTCCATGAAGCGTCGCCACTCGTAGGACCGAGCAGCAGCAGAAATGCAGGCGCCCCTTACTATACAGGATCCGACCTTACGACCCTAACCGTTCCTCTACTGCCTTGCTACCCGACTAGAACAACCCCTCAGCTGCTGCATGGTCGGCGACTGCCAGAAAGGGCTGATCGCGGTGGTTGTTGCGACCACTGCTGTCGCCGCCGCTGCTGTCGGTGTATCTGCCTTGCTCGCGTGCCTGGCGCCTGGCTTGTTCCTGCAGCTCCTGGACGGTTTGCTCGGAGCGGAGGACGTAGGACCTGAGGCTCAGCAGCTCGTCTTGCAACTGGGCACGGATAGCCTGGAGAGGCAGTGCATGAGAGGGCGGGGGGGGGGGGAGGACGTTGGGTTAACGCAAAAATATTAGTACGGTGCACAAAAGACACAACACGCTATGGTCGTCACCATAGCAATAAACGAAAACGAAGCCTTCAACACGTCCAACCACCTTCTCCTGGTTGGCCACTTGTGCTCCCTTGCGCGCCTGCCGTGCCTCTCGCTTCCTCTGCGCAGATGCCTCGGCCAGCTCTGCGTAGAGCGAGGCTGATCGAACACGCAAGGTTTCCACCTGCATCGCGGGGGTGTGTAAACGGAAAGAAGCGTGCGTACGGAGAGGGGGTAAGGGGGGGTGCCGTGAGCCCTAGTACTGGAAATCATCCAACATACCCTGCGCATTTGAAACATCATAGCACCTCCAAGCGCCCTAGACCCTCCATCGTACATGAACGCTCATCCGTGTAACGTTCACACGAACCACGAACTTGAAACCATCCAACATACCCTGCGCCTTTGAAACATCATAATACCTCAAAGCGCCCTAGACCCTCCTCCGTACATGAACGCTCATCTGTAAACGTTCAAACGAACCATCCGGTACACACAAACGCGAGGCTTTCCTGACTGCACCGACAGCACAAAGTCGCGGTCTCAACAAAGTGCCGGTGTGAATAAGCACGGCGTCCATACGACCACTTCTTCTGAAGAGGTCGCTGACTGCACCGGGCACCATAAGAATACTACACCATTCTCATGCCTATCTCAAGGGTAGGCACGACAAGCCTTGCCGAGCTCCATTGCTGGCCTCCGCAGGGAGCAACCAACTGATGAGGCTACCTCGCCACCGTAGGCAATTCCAAAGGAAAAAAAAAAACATCGTCTCCCTCGTTGCACCGCCAAACCCCCCCCTCGCCGAATATCTCACGGCGCTTCGCGCTTGGTGATGTGAGAGCCTGGTCCGGTGAGAACCCGGCGTGCTCCGTCCCGGCTTTGTAGGGATGCGAGGTNCCCCCCCCCCCCCCCCCCCCCTACCCCAAGATGCACTCACTTTATTGTATGAAACACAGAAACACACACAAAGCAAAAAACCGAACTCGCGTTTTTATTGGTTAAAAAGAAACGTGTTGGCGCTATGTACCCCGCTGTAGTAAGACAGAGGTCTTTTCTGTTGGTCCTTCGGTTAGAGGGGTCGACGCTACCTCACACACCATAAAGCGAGCTCGCGTTTCCTGTCACAAAACACAGCGTGATAGCGTTTCTTATCCCGCTGTAACGACTGATGATGTCTTTTCGTTTGGTTATCGCGGTCGACAAGCTACACGTAACTAAAAAAAACGCACGCAAACACACACACGAGCTCGTGTTCGTTTGTCACTGTAAAAGAGCGTTGGTGTTGTTTTTCCACGCTGGAAAGACTGACGACGTCTTTTCACTGGTTATCGCGGTCGATGCTAACCAACTCAACATTACACGCACACCTCTGCAAGGGACTCCGTGAGCGCCCTCTCGGTGCCGGCTAGCGCGGCGGCGGGCACCGTCCCCGACGCCTCTCCCTCCATCATCTGCACCCGCTCCTCCAGGAAGGACACCAGCTCGGATTTCTTCTCGAGAGCCACGCGCATCGCCTGCTTGCTCGCCTCCAAGGCTTCCACCTGGGGGGGTGGGTGGGTGGGGAGCGCACTCTCATGTTTTACATGCCTTAGCGTTAAGACCATTGACCACGCGTCTTCGAGAGGACGGAGCATTTCCACCCGGGGGGGGGGGTACTCATAGTCTTGCATGCCGTAGTCGTTAGACCATTGACCTCGCATCCCTACAAAACCGGGACGGCCAGGTGGGCGTTAATTATTGGGAAAACGACACAACAGGGTATACCCTGGTCGAAAAGCGACACACCTGGGTACACAGTCATCGACAGGAGTAAATGCACTCATGTGATTGGTCAGCGCCCTAGTTCACCCCGGTGCGTCCGGAAAAGCGCAGGGTATACCCTGCCGTGACTACTTTTCTCAAAAACTGTACCCTGTTTTCGGAAATGTACCCTGACCTGACGGGAAATGAGACCCTTTCATCAATCATTTCCCCCGCAGAAATCTTCCCAAATCCTTTTCCCCTCCAACCATGGGATACCAAACGGCGACTCTTCCTGCCCAGTAACAACCATGGCAACGGGGCAGGAATCAGTTTCCGACCCTGCGAAACAACACCAACCGTCAACTCTTCCGCTCTAAGTCAACAATGGCCGGGCAATGCCCCAGCGCAACTGTTCCGTTTGGAATCACCCTCCCTGTCGCTTTCCCGTGCTCGCGGTGTTATTCATCGGCTCATCCACTGAAGCCTGACGTCCTCGAACTACATTGATTGAGTGGCTTGGTTGGCTGGTAAGAGCGACCGCTGCTGCTACAGCAATAGTCTAGTTCAAAGCAAGAAACACATCGCAATTGAGACACAACAGACACCACACACACGCACACGCGGCACAGGCAGGAGGGAGTGGCGGCGCCCAACGTTACCCGTGTAATGTTGTGTCCGCATCCTCCTCCAAGAAGCACACACAGCCAACATCAGACCACTATATGGACTGTTCATGACCTTGTGAGGCCATCTTCTACGCAAGCAAATGCTTCGATTCAGTAGGTGTTGGGGTTGTTGTGTCCGCAAAACCCACGCACTCGGGGCCCAAGCCTCAGCTCCACAATAACAATCCTGTATCATATGTTATCATATGTTGCATCCGTTGAACCCAACCTAACGTTCTAGGTGCTTCTTCCGAGAGGTAAACGTACATGGCATACAGCCATATGTATACGTGTACACCGCTGCATGCACAGCAGACAGCGGTAACCCCCCCCCC